AACACAGACAGGTACATCATCATCAATTGAGTGGTTGCCCATTTTTTTGATACCCAATCACTACGGTGCGACACATTCGTGGCTGTTGGCTTTCCAACACAATCCAATGGTTGTTGTCCCGGAAAGACCAGTACCCACGCCTCATGAGAATGGCGCTCGAGATACTTTCAATACCTCCTTGCACAACGGAATGTGAGCGGACCTTCAGCCTCGCAAAGCTCGCGATAGGGTCACAACGACACTCCCTTGGCGACAACACCCTATCAGAGCTTCAATGTGTACGAAATTGGGCGCGTGGGGAACTAGTTGGCAGCATTGTAGCTTGATGACATTCTTGGAGGCCCATCGTGTATCTATTCCGGGTTCGGAATAACGGTATCCAAGCTCTTTTCTTGGCAAGTCTCCCAAGTCAAGTCAAGTCGGGGGTCGATCAAGTCAAGTCTGGCTACAAATTCGTCAAGTCAAGTCAAGTCTGGCTTCGGACTTGACTTGACTTGACTTGGTGACAGCGCTGACCTGGCCAATCTCAAGTCCATAGCCGACGATTACCGCGAATGTCTCACCAGCTTCAAGACGTACCTGAGCAAGTTTGACGACAGTCGCCAGGTCGTGAGACTGATACGGCGCGTCCAGTTTGCCCTGTCCAAGAAGGAAAACATCAGCCAGTTCGAGAATCGTTTGCGCAGCTACACCGGCATGCTCGGCCTCACCCAGGCTAAGTACTGTTCGCAAGATATTAAGACGCATATCACTCGCTACTTAGAGGAGCCCTGGGATCAGAGACCGATACGGTTCCAAGACGCCATCGGCCGGCGATATCCGGTTCCGCTCGAGGTCTGTAGCGCTTTCGACGTAAATCTCAAATCTTTTAGAGGAGGATGACCCCGATCTTGCCAATTAAGACCTATACGTGCCCAGGTATTCATAGACTTTCTCAAGGCCGCCTTCAAACACACCGCGCTGCTCAATTCTGCTATCCATCAGCAACAGTTCTGGCTATTCACGCCTGCGCACTCCGACCCCCGACGGTGGTATATCATCCACAAGGACGACTGGGCATCTATCGCCCGGCCGGGAACTCGGTTAGGCATGTCGTTCCTCACCCAGCGCGAGGGCGAGCCCACAGATCCCCTCAGCGACCCGAAAAGGCAGCAAGGCGAAGACAATTCGACAAGTAACGCCCTTGGTGATGACGCTTCAGTTGCAGGAGGCGGGGATGATTTGCCGTACCCCGTAACACCGATGCCAGATGATATTCTGGATTCTGGGTTAACCGAGCTTCACCCGGACAAGGTCATGGAAAACCTTAAATTTGGCGAGCCGTTGCCTCCCTGGGCTACATATGATCCACATACAAAGTTTGAATTGCTGTGAGACTCATGCTCTAAGCACAACTGAAGCCTCGCCATATTGGAGGGTGTTTTAACAAAAATAGGTCTCCTCTAAGAAAGCCGCTCCCTCCTCCGGCAGTTCTCCCTCAGGATGACCCGCTCCTCGCATGCCCATATCGCAAACGTCCTAGACTTAGAGCGTCTCCAAGGCGGGCCTGACTCTTCCAGGTATGAGCGAGATTCGCCATGCTGGTCAACGTGTCGGGATGCTCCTCTCCCAGGACCCTCTTGCTCGTCTCCATCACTTGCACCTCCAGCGACTCGGCCTCCTTCCATCGGCCTTGGTTCTGGTACGTCGACGCCAGGTTGGCCATGCTGGTCAGCGTGTCGGGATGTTCCTCTCCTAGCACCCTCGTTCAATACTTCCAGTGGTTGATGGTATCGTACGGGCTTAGTCCTCGCATGGCTAGGAAGTGAGTGTTTGTTAATATGAGTTTGTCACCTTCGAAAATCTTACCTTCTTGAACGGGGAATATGTGACTTGCCTGGTAGAATTGAAACGTTTCTTAGACGCACAGACCCAACGATTGAATGCACCCAACGATTGAATGCACCTAACGATTGAATGCACCCAACGATTGAACGCGTACCCACACCGCGTTTTAGGGCACTCACCCGATTCAACTTGACACACCTCAGCCAATTTTGCAGCAAAACACTCCGAATTTAAAATGGATGATGCCAGGGAGAAAAACATCCAGTCCGCCATTGATGAGGTCGATCGCGGCATGTCTCAGGCTAAAGCGGCGGCTTTATACGGCATCCCGCCGTCAACACTCTCCGTCAGACTCCACGGCGCAAAGCCAGTAAAACACAGCAAAGTACACGCTCAACGGCTCGCTCCTTCGCAAGAAGACTTCCTTGCAGACTGGTGCTTAAATGAGGAAAAGGCTGGCCGTGCGCCAAGTCGCCGTCAGGTTGTGGCGTTCGCTTCAAGAAATCCTGTGCGAGGGTGGGGACCTTAAGTCCCTTGGACCAAGATGGATTGACCGCTTCTTGAAGCGCAATCCGCACGTCCACACCAAGAATTCGACCTTGTTGGATAGCGCTCGAGTCCACGGATCTACTCGTGAGGCCTATGAAGACTTCTACGGCCGTTTGAAGTACCAACTCGAATCCAAAGGCATACTACCGAAGAATATAGCCAATATGGATGAACACGGCATGCAGGAGCTCGAAACACGTGCAGGCAAAGTCATCAGCACCTCTTTGACGAAGGAGGCACTCGTTGAGAGCTCAGACGACACGACCTGGGTCTCTGTGATAGAGTGTGGCACCGCTGAAGGCCGGAGACTGCACCCCTGTATCGTGTTCACAGGCGCCAGTCTTCAGGGGCAATGGTTCCCCTCCGAGGAGGAATTGAAGCGCGATTTTCCAGGCTGTCAATACGACTACTCCCTTACAGGCTGGAGCAATGGCGATATCGCTCTCAAATGGCTGCAGCAGATCTATCTGCCAGAAACCAAACCAACAAATCCGTCAGAATGGAGGCTCTTGATTCTTGTCGCGCACTCAAGCCATATCACGACTCGGTTCATGTATCTGGCCTGGATTAACCGCGTTCAACTACTTTACCTGCCGGCTCATACATCCCATAAGACTCAACCTCTCGATCGGAGTGTTTTCTCGCCCTGAAGAACTATTTCAGGCAAAATACCAAGTCTATGGTTCACTTCACGGCGTCAGCTCCCATCAATAAACGCCGCTTCCTTTATTGTTATCGAGATGCCTCCCAGAGAGGTATGAGCGCCAGGAACATCGTCAGCGGCTTCAGAAAGACCGGAATCTGGCCGTTGAATCCGAGCAAAGTACTGGATGACACCACGGCAGTACTTCAACCTAGAGCCCCCCCTGCCACGCCGCCCACCCCAGAGGAACGGCCTCCCTCGCCTACCAACATATATCTGCAGGCTCCCCAGAAGTCACAGGATATTCGCAGAGCCTTGAAAAACGCCAGGGAGCACGTATCTCCAAACAATCGCATGCTGAGGTCTGTTTTATACAAGGTTGGCAAGTCGTTGGACTCGAAGAACGCCGAGGTCGCCAGCTTGCGCGCTCAAATCAAAGAGATATCTGGCCAGTTGGAAGCCCACAAGCCAAGTAGTAAAAAGAGGGTCAAAGAGAGTGCCAACGATGCTTTTGCGAAGATTGAAGAGATTGTGGCGGCTCAGAAAGAGAGTGAGAAGCCACCCAAGCGGAGGAAAACGACAAAGACAGTCGACCCGGGGCCAGCCGTTGAACAAGCGCAGGACGTGATTGTACATGGGCTGAATCGCCTTCGTCAGGTTGAGGAGATGTAGTTTGCACTTTCCCCTACATAGATTGCTATACAAATGAGTGATCTAGACATGTTGTTGTGTGGTGTGGGGGATGCAGGATCATCAACAATCGTTGGGTGCATTCAATCGTTGGGTCTGTGCGTCTAGACTTGATGAAGACCTGCTTCCATCACCAGCAGCAAGTACTAGGCCGAGATCATCCAGACACGGTCTCTACTCTCTTTGTTCTGAAAGAGTGGCAGGAGCAGGACGGCAACACGAGCTCTTGGCGCACGATTAATGCTTCAGGGTAGTAGCAGTTTCAGCGTACCAGTATCTTTTGCATCATGCTATCTCAACGGATGTTATCCGCTCGGTCCTCGAGCGAACCGGCGCTGGCCGAGCGCTCTCCAGTGTTCACCGCTCGATCACCTGCCACTGCCCGCGGCAGCTCCGCAATCTCACCTCCAGTATTGTCCAGAGAGGTATGCAATACGACGTCCGGAGGTGCAAGCGGTGCTGCCGGAAGAAGTGGGGTTGCAGCATCTGCTGTCGGTCGTAGGGCGGGAGGAGCTGCTGTGGCCGATGGGGCAGCATGCTCGGATGGATGGATGGATGGAATTTATTTCGCCCGGAGGCACGAAGCCTAAAGGGCCTTGGCACGCTAACAGCATGCTCGGGACTGAGGACAGCGTTTGCTAAGGCTAGCAGGGCACGTGCAGCTGAGCGTCCGAGTTTCCAGTGTCACGACTTTCCAACAAATTCACGGGGAAGAATTGGTGTTGATGCAGTCGGGGCCAGTCCAGCCAGCTGCTGCCAGCTGGCGTCATTCGGCTGATCAGCTGGATACGGCATCAGGAAGATTCCACCAGCGATCTCTTCTAAATTGCACACCACTTTTCTTCGGGTACCTGACTGGGCCGGGAGCGGCTGATCGCCGATCACGCCCAACGAACCGTTGCATGATCGGCGGGCTTGGCATACAACTGGCGCAAGAACCAAACTCTGTCAGTCATCGCCGAGAGCTTACTGTGGTAATACTAGCGGTGTGACTGCATGCATACGGAAACTCCCCCTTTCGCTTCGAAGCCCTCAGAGCGCAACAGCAGCCTCCGAGTAGAGCCACGATATTCTTTGGCTCCAGTGGCGGCCAGTTTGGCAGAGCCTGAACCGCCCTGGCACATGACGGCAACTTGCTGAGAGAGCTGAGAGCAAAACAGCCGAGGAGAAGAGCAAGGTCTGGGAAGCCCACATTTGAGCGAGTCTGCCTGGCAGTGGCAAGCAAGTCTGTGGCCCTGGTCCCAATAACGTGTGGGACGGTTTATTCTGTACACATATCCGGATTCCTGGAGACATATCCTATCGTGGTACTCTCGGTCAATGGAATTCGGCGGAGGACCTACGTACCACACTACAATTATGTATCCTTGAATAGGTGTAAGAGGCTCACATCAGATTCTCAAAAGCATTCACAAATCAGGTGCAGATCTATACGGCATGACCAAGTGCAATTCAACGGTGTAATGCTCCCTGCTTCAGCTCCCCACATGTTTAACCTTGATTGATGAACGATCTCGCCGAATTTCTCGCGTTAGCGTTTCGCTAGGTCGAAGCCACCGACGCCGTGAGTGGGATAACAATTCATAGTTGTACATCGGCGCGGACTCTTGCCAGCTGAGGTCAATCAGGATCGCGCTAGTTTCGGGACATCATTGGCGGCGCGCCGGTTTGTGGTCTAGAACCAGTGGCTACGACACTTGCGGCCTAGTCCTATCAGCTGACGTCCACGGGTGCTCAATGAAGGGTTGGGTCCGAGGCACGCCTTCCGGAGGACGGGATTGTCGGAGTGGACGGATTTGTATAAGTTGAGCCCCATCTGCACAAAGGGGTGTCCATCAGCAAGAGCAGCCAGCTCAATCACTCGTCGATCGTCTAGTCGTCTGCAGTGCTGTCACCTCAGCAGATGGCCTTGGCTCGTGGTCATGGCCTGCTGGCCATCTCTGTCCTGACCTTCATTGCCTCTGTTCACTCCCTTCCAAACAGTCTGGGCAGAAGGCAAGCCGAAGTATACACCTCCAAGGGCTGCTATGTCGACAACAGTGACGGCCATCGCGCACTGTCGGCCGCCAACTATGCCGACAACGGTATGACCGTCGCGTCATGTGCTGCCTTCTGCTCCAGGTACAAGTACTTCGGCCTCGAGTTTGCCCGCGAATGCTATTGCGACAACACCATCTCGTCCGCCGCCACCATCGCAGACAATTCCGAGTGCTCGTTCCCTTGCGCCGGTGATGCCACTGCCACCTGTGGCGCCGGCGACCGCCTCTCCGTGTACGAGAACACTGCGCCTGCATCTGGGCCTGCTCCTGCCGAGCTGGACGGCATTTCTTACGCCGGATGCTTCCACGAGGCGCCCGGTCGAGCTCTACCTTTCAGGGGTACCTCAGCACCTGACATGACGGCTGCCAAATGTGCCGAGCACTGCACTGGCTACGCTTACTTTGGCACCGAGTACGGCTCCGAGTGCTATTGCGGCAACGAAGTCCCAACCGTCGCCGCTCCCGAGTCCCAGTGCTCCATGACATGCTCGGGAGAAAGTTCTCAGCTCTGCGGCGCTGGCGGCAGGTTGAACGTGTACGGACCAGTTCCCGTTGCTTCGACCCCCGTTGAGCCCGTCGGCAATTACGTCTACCAGGGCTGCTACACAGACAGTCCCCAGCGCGTCCTCAGCGGCAGCGCGCTGCACGACGACCACATGACGCTAGAGATGTGTGCGGCAGCCTGCAGCTCATACGCTTGGTTCGGTGTTGAGTACAGCAAGGAATGCTATTGCGGCACCGATCTGTCGTCGTCGAGCGTCGAGAAGCCACAGAACGACTGCAACATGCCGTGCGGGGGCAACAGCGGCCAGATGTGCGGCGCCGCGAACCGTCTCGGCGTCTTCCACAACCCTTCGCTGGGCGGCAACCCGGGTGGTTCACCCTCTCAAGTCGGCGAGTTCACATACAAATCGTGCTGGGCCGACAGTGTCTACGACAGGTCCCTAAACGGGGCCAGTTACGCCACCGACGATATGACGCTCGGAAGCTGCGCGGCATTCTGTACGGACTTCGCCTTCTTCGGCGTCGAATACTCTCGGGAGTGCTACTGCGGCAACACCGTTTTGGGCGCGGCGGCCGACGAGAAGGATTGCAGCATGCTTTGCGCAGGCGACAGCTCCACTTACTGCGGCGGTCCTGGCCGGCTGAACCTGTACGAGAAGGAGCCCGAGACCGGGCCCGACCCGCCCAGTGATACATGCCCGGGAACCCCGGAAGCGTCTTCGGCAGTCCTCGTCAACGGGGCCTTTGAGTGCGGCTTTGAAACGGAGCCATGGGTTATCAGCACTGCGATTGGCGGCGGGGCAGGGGCTCAGATTGAACCGTCGAGTGGCTCCTCTGCGCTTGAGGTTTTCGTCGACTACTTGATGTTTGACCGGGAGGATGGCAACATTTACATCTACCAGACCCTCAACACTGTCCCAGGTCAGATATACCGCCTTTCGGTTGCTGTTATGAAGCAAAAATGGGCTACCGACAGCGATGGCCGTGGGTTAGAATGGAGTGTCGATGTCAATGGGGAGTACTTTGCGTACGGGGGTTATGAGGAGGGCGAATTTCCCTGGACCACGTTTACGGTGACGTTTACAGCCTTGGGTTCGGACATGGTCCAGATTCGGATCTCTGGGGACCCCAGGGCGTCCGTCCTCTTTTGGTTTGACAACTTTGTCATTACCAAGGCCGTCGCGCCGCCACCTCCACAACCTGCATAATGTTTGGATGAGGATTGATAGTGTGTCTGTCCCACGCTCTGCAGATGGGTTCTGCAGGCTTCTTTACCAATCAGGTAGCTCAATATTGTGTGAAGCCAGATCAATGCAATGTGACAACTATTGAACCTTATCAATGTCCTGTGTGACCCTGGGACAGATCACAATCCTACATCAACTGAATGGATGGATGGAATTTATTTCGCCCGGAGGCACGAAGCCTAAAGGGCCTTGGCACGCTAACTACATTCCATTCGTTGACGCTCAATCATCAACTCGTACAAGCCCTCTACTCTCTCCCCTTTTCTCACACCACCTGTTGCCTCTTGACTTAGTTTAGCAGATCGACTTGGAGGCTGCGTTCTCCAAGTGTTCAGCGTCCTATCTTCAGCAGCTACAGCGGGATCTGCTGACTGAGGCTGTGTGGTGTTAGTAGAATTCCCCTACTGTGAATGATCCAATCTCCGTCCTTCCTCGTCAAGATCCAATCTCCCTGTCGCCATTG